TTGTGAAAGCATTGAACAGGGTAACATCGGAGAACTTCTGTGTCTACCTTCTTGGTGGGCATCAACTACCACTTCACAATGAAGTGGCATGTGACCATTACCATTATAACGTATCATTGTGCTGGACAGTGAGGGGGGAAAAAAAGTGAATTTAAATTTAAAATATTGTGCAACACTCAAAGTTGACGTATAAGGGTTGTATTTACCAGTGCTATGGATTTTGTTCTATTTGGTATTAAATGATTTAGCTGCTAGAGAATCTATCTTAAGAAGCATATTCTTGAAGAGTTATCCTTTCTCCCACATATAAAAGCCTAGAAATATTGTTGCACATGTATGAAAATAACAGTCCTAACTGTAATCACAGATGTATGTGCGCGTATATACACACACACTTCTGTATAAACATGGTTTCAACTTGGTCTCAAAAACCTGTAACTCAAGGGTCTGAAGACCTGATGCTACTCACTGGATGAGTGCAGTGGTTGACACAGCAATAAGAACTCTACAGCTAGATAGAGGCTGCTGTTGTACTTCCAATAGCACGATCAAGGTACAGGAAGCCTGCTACTACCAGCAGAAAGACAGGACCTTTTCTCCCTAGATTCACATCAGGTCACACACTCAAGGTACTAACCTAACAAGGGACAAGACCAGTGCTGCTAAACCTCCTCCTGATACAGACTTCTGCCTGAAGACCTTCTAGAACATAACCTGTCCAAAGATAAAGAGGGATACCTTCTGAATGTCAATGAACTAGCCAGTTACAGAAAAAAGAAATCTAGATTTCTTTTGCAAACCATTCTGTGTCATCCAAGTGTGATTGCACTATTGACCGGGGATATCCCCCCCCCCATTTTTATAAGAGGAATCTTTCTCATATCTTTAATGGAACAATATTCTTGTACCTTGGGCCTCTGGAACATTCAACAACAAATAAAAGTACTATGATCAGTATCAAGGCTCTTTGATGCATGTCCATCAGTGAACTTTGCTTAACAGAAGGAAAGCCTCTCACTTGTCCTATATACTCAAGAGATGCATTTCACAGAAAAGAAGTCATAAAGCTCTGGTAAATACCCACTTCACCTCTCAGTTGAGCAAACAGAAATGTTTCAGCAGTAACTGTTGGGGAAGCAATCATAACCACTTTAATAGTTCTATCACAATATTTTCCACAATTTTTTTTTTTTCTTTAAAAGTTGATTAAGGTACTTCAAGACTGCTGGCAAAAAAACAAACACTAAACATTTCTGTAGAGCCAACCTTAAATAAGTATACTGCAGCATTGGTGGACCCAACAAACCTGTTCAACACTCAGTTCTGTGATTCACCCCTAAAGAAAATTTCTGACTCATTTTCTGTGATGATTTTCTATTCTATAAAAGCAGAGAAAATTATACACTTCTGATCAGCTTGCTACATAGCCTGTTTTAAGTGACAAAATGAGAATGAAATGTTAACATAATTAACTTTCTGTTGAACTAGATTATGATAAGATTCTTTCACTGAAACATTGAATAAAAACCATGCAGTTTCAGAAGCATAAATCTGAATTAGAGGAGGCCCATATGATTCATCAGTACATAGCAATACTACAATAAAAAAATGTTTCTGCATCAGTCACTAATAAGGTTAAAACTGACTTTGCAGATCTATCTTAAAAAGCAGCAACACAGAAAGCACTAAATCCCAGATATGTACAAGGTTTTGTCTATTTTTTTCTCCAGATGAATAATTTAAAAATGAATGGTGAATAATTATAAAATAGGTGAATCATTAAAAAAGTCCACATGCAGTGAACAACGATTATTATAAAAACATATACAATGACTAGTGTGAGCACATGACAAGACAGCAATATGAATTGTGCATTACTAAATCTTCCACACATTGCTGCCTGGAAAGGCAAAGTAGTTTGCATAATCACATTACCTCAACATTTTCCTAATTATCAACTTTATGCTCCAATCCTTTGCATTTACCTTTATCTACATTATTATTACTTTAACTTGGATACAAGTTTTCAAAGATGGACTTTGCCATGAGCTGTGCATATATAACCTATCACTCTCACAGTTGATTATTATTAAATTCATGGCAAGTAAAAAACACCTTATGAAACAAATGATGCTTGAGATAGGATTGGCTGAGAACATGCACTTCAGAATGAAGTTTTAAGAACTTAGATAGCTAAAATGTACTTGTTTCCTTAAAAGCAACACCTGAATGGTTCTTCTCCAAACCTTTGAAGTTTACTTCAATAATTGTAAACATACACTTATAATGATCATACAAAGAATCATAACCTGAAGATTCAAAGGTCTTTGTCATGATTTCTAACTAAACAGTGGTGATAAAAATCCATATTCAGTCTACATTCATACCTGCAGTGATATTTTTTGATATTCAAAGCTACAGAAGGCACTATGAAAGGTATATTGACCCCACAAAAGATTTATTTTGGCTGTGTAGAAATGAGAATGAATAGTAATGAAACAAGACAGAGAAAGAAATTAATTCCAACAAATTGCTTTTGTAATTAAAAAAAAAAAAGTAATTATTTGCTAAAGTAATAATTATACTGAGAATCAATGTCTTAGTTGAGTATAATGACTTTGGCACTGGTGGTCATTTACATTTTGTTTTGAGACAGATCAATTATATACATCACTGTAGAAAGGTCAACAAATAAAAATAGCCTTTTTGTAAAAAAAAAAAAATCTAGTCAGTGTAGCAGAAGACCAGATTGTGTCTGTTATACTACCTATTGCAGACTCAGAATTTCTCTAAGAGAAAGATCAGTGCATGTTTTCTCCAAACCAAAATTTTCATTGGTGTCTGTTCATCCCATCAACCTTCCCAAATATCTAGGTCACAAGCTCTGGAACGTCAGTTTTCTCAGACAAAATAGACCTAAAAGGTTTGGTGTGGAGACCTAACTTTTCACTCAGACGGTTCACTCTGCTACAGAAGTTTTATGAGCCAAAAAATAAAAACTGTACAGTATTTTCACAAACTTTTAAAAGGAATCCAGGATAAAGTAACCAAATTACTAAACCCAGTAACTTTTCATCTAAAATTGCTTTAGTATACAATTTATGAAATGTAGAACTCAAACACCAGGATATATGCATCTATTTGGTGGGAGTCAACCCATCTTTTGCAAAGGTGAGTCTTATCTTTCAAGTCTACTGAAGTTTTTTTGAAGGGGATCTACCACAATGTACCTATAAACTGGTTGATGTAGTCCTGTTTCCACTATTTTTCAAAATTAAATTAAAACAGACTAAGGTTTATGAACATATCTGTACAGTAAATATAATTTCCAGGAAAACTTTTGAGAAAGACTCACAAACTTTTAAGATAACTGAGCTGACATGTGAAAAAAATGCATTGAAACTTTTTAAAAATACAAGCAAGGAGATGCTTCATACATGAGAGAAACAACACCAACATTTCAAAGGAATCTGCTCCAACTTCTATTATGTTCAATAAATTTATAAATGATCTGGAAAAGTAAGTAACCACCAAGGGATAAGGACAGTGTAAATACTAGTAAAATAATAATAAAAAAATCTGGAATTCTTTCTGTTACTTTTGTTGCTATACTGCATTTCACTAGAGACCCTTATCCCTCCAGAGGTATGTATTGAGACCCAGCTTGTTGAAGATATTACCTCAGGTAAGATGTTTCATTATGGGAAGGTTGGGTGCAAAACTGATGAGAACTTCAAGGATTATTTAAGTTTTGCAATAGCTGTTTGTCAACACAAGCTGATATAACAGAAACCCACTATTTATTTTTACAGATCACTAAATATAGACTCTTAATGCAGCTCAGTAGCAGATGCCTAAAACAAATTAGTGTTTCCATCAAGCGTTTGTTTCATAAATTTTGTCTTGATGGTCCTAACGGCTCCACGACTGTACGTTCAATAAAACTTAATAGGGAATTTAAGGCTCTAAGAAAATCAGGGGACCTTGCCAGAGTTATTTATCAGCCATTTTTCCACCCGTGGAATAAAAAGGAATTGAAAGACTACCCAAGTCATTAGAATTTACAAGAAAATGCAATCAGACAGAACAAAGAACATAACAAAGCTCTGTAGCACACAACAGTTTTTGCACAGTGAACTGGGCTTGAGGTAAAGAGACACCTTAATACCTGCCTAAAGGCAATTTTTTTTTTTTAATTTACGCAATTCCCTGTACACAGCAGGGTCCTGCAATAGCAGAACTACCTTGAGCACACGCTGTGACAACTCAGCAGCAGCCAGAGCAACAGATCTAGCGAGACCTGGCACAACACGGGCTGAGAAAGAACAAGGAGTCACCTGGGCGAGTCCCCCCCAGGGCACCCCGACTCCGCTCAGCGCGCAGCTCCTCACACCCCGCTCCTTCGCGGGGCCGGGCAGCGCTCCCAGCCAGGCCTCCACCCGCAAGGCGGGGGCCCAAGCCGCCCCTCACAACCGCCCCCCTCCTCCTCTCCTTCTCAGGCCACTGCGCAATACACCACAGCGCAACCGCAGGGAGCAAACTAGAAACGGCCCCTCCCGCTCCCCGCCGCCCTGAGGAGCCGCTCGCAGGCGAGGGCCGCTAGACCGGGCCCTGCCGCGTCACTCACGGCTCCAGCCGCCGCCACCGCCGGCCCGCGCCTTCGCGCGCTCTGGGCTCAAACAGCCGCCACCCGGAAGTGACGAAACCTAAAGGAGAAGCGCGCGCACACGGGCGCTTCCCGCCGCGCTCGCGGCGCTTCCGGGCTCAAGAACCGTTTTTCCCCTTTATGTTTTCTGCTCTTCCCTCCCGCCGCCTCCCTCCCCCCCTCCCCGGCAGTGAGTTAACCGGCA